TATATATATATATATATATATATTCAATAATAATGATTGAGGGTCTAGGGATTCCGGGCGCATCTGCTGCTAATGTCATTAGTCTCCTAAATATAGTACACGTTTTCATTGCGAAGACGGTTGTTATTTTCCCCCGTTGTCTGGCGAATTTTCCCCAACCAGGTTTTCTTTCACGAGCGCGGCACCGTCTCAAGCCGTGACAAACTCTAAGGTTCTGACTGGTATCCCGTCCAGTGTGATAATGTTGTGCATGTGTGCGTGCGTGTGCGTGTGTGTGTGCGTGTGTGTGTGTGTGTAAGTAAAGGGCGAGGAAGGGACAAGGAAGGGGAAGGAAAAATAGCGCGCGGTCTGTTGCTCGTTTGTGAGGGTACTGCTCTGGCATTCGTCTGGTTTTGGTGGTAGGAGAAACCACGGAAAATCGCCGATGAGACCAACCGACCGCTAGAAGTCTCCTCCAGATAGTGGCTGAATTCGACGTAGCTGTCTAGCCAGCGTCCAAAATCCTTGCACTGTCGGTACTTCAGCCCAGGACCTCCCGTCAGAAGCACTGCACACTGCTGTGAAATCATTTGATGCCCTGAGGCACCTTTACCGGTTTGATAAAGCAATGCAATTCGACTTCGTCTGTACCATAATTTATTTGCATTAGCATTTAAATAAGGGCGGCTCAAATGCAATAATTCGGGCCAGGCTAACCGTGATGGCCCGTTGCAGAGGCCCGCGTGCCACTCGTCTTTCACTAGATTAGAACCGATTGCGCCCGCGCGCCTTGAGTCAACAAGCGTAAGCACGTAAGCTCTTGGCCAGAGCTCACAGCGCCAAGTGGTTCACCTGCTTGAGCAGCCTCGATTGAAATCGCCATGAGCGGTCGATGGCTTAGCCGTAATTATCACATGTATCGTTGGCAGTGCCTGAACTAGACAATTTGGGCCTGAACCAAGGCAGAAATGTAGCCCCCCAATGAAATGTGAAAGTTATATCAAGAAACTACAAGAGTTATTTTATTTCATTTCAAAATTATACCGTTTGACCTAGAAAGAATTTTTGCAAATCTATTTTAAATAATAGTTTTAAAAAAGTATTTAGTAATCAAATAATGCAATTTCCTCGATGAGTTTAAAAAGCAAAAAAAAAAAGATTTTAATAAAATCAGTTGTTAAATACATGAAATACATATGTGAATTTCAGTAGATCCTATTTTAATGTCAGTGTCATTTCAATAATTTCAATGAGTGCTACTCTTACAAGTAATGACTATAATTAACTATTTAAGGTAAAAAATTAATTAAAAATATACTGAAATATCGTAATGCTATATTGCGTCTTACAAAATTACGATGACGAATTTTTACGAATTCTAATTATTTTTACAATCCCCCCCCCCCTCATAAATTCCGAACCCCTTGACTTGTGGGGGCCACTGGCGATCGCCCGGTCTGTCCATGCCTATGCCGAGGCCTATGCTTCTGATCTTTGGAGAGTCACAATTCAACTAATTGAGTAATCTAGTAGCCCAATGTACTTCACTAGTGGCCTCTTAGTGGCCACTAGTGGCTAAACTATTAAAAGCTGCTCCTCATAACCATAGTAAGCGAGACGTGGATCTTACGTTTAGGTCAATTCAAGATCCAATCACATTCGTAATTTAAATTATAAAAATATTGCCAAAGGTAATGAATATTTCTATTAACATTTGTGTTTGTTGTTTTTCCTTTTGTTATATTACGTCCTCGTACTTGATGAACCTTATTGTAGATTTCTTTATTCACATGCACAACATTAAATTAATTGTGGGCATCTCCCGCACCAATTTTATGACGAGGGTCGGTTCAGTACAGATTACAGTCGAGTCATCTCCAAACTAATAAATATTGGGTGAACACTGTCCACCAACCACTAGCAATGACGCGCGTGACATTAAAATTGTAGACTGTTTGTGAACAAATTTATTTATTTACAGTGTCACTAGCTAAGATATAGAAGCATATTGTCGAATTTAAAATGATTTTCAATGAAACGTATATTAAAATAATGGAGGTTTATATCAAGTAGATGGATTTGAAACTCCTAGTCGGCTTTGCTTCTAAAAGGTAATGTTATTCTTGTATTGTCCCAAAAGAAACATCAATGATCGGTTGATTTGCTAAATTTTCTTTGTAGACCGTTTGCTCCTTGAAGTTGATAAATTTGAGAATATTATTATTCTGATGACATTGTGAACATGTTTAATGGGCCAGTACATATAAATATCGAAAAAAATAATTAAGTAATTAGACTTTGTCATAGAACAATTTTGTTTCCCCGTGTCTTTTATGAAAGTCTTATTCACAAGGTGCCATCTGGCTAAGCCGTTTGTCATCACAATTACAATCTTCCATATGTGCTCGGCTGCGCTAGAGTCTGAATCATATTCCACATGTACGCTATGTATATACGCCAGTTGGTTGTCGGTGAACACGTTTGTCCCAATCATCACAGCCAATTAGCAAGACACGCCAATTGGCGCAAACACAGTCATGAGCTATTGCCTACCTAGTATGCGGCCAACTTCGCACCTGCCCTTCGCAAAGAATGGGAACAGTAACAGAGGGTATTCACGAGGTGCAAAAAGAAATACAGCAGTGGAAGAAAGCGCAGGCTTAAACACAGGCATTCCTATCGGATATGGTCACTTTGGAGCGCGTAGTGATTAGGTTCGAAGTTTCGGTGTCAAACTACTCGTTATTGCTTACAATTATATTCTAACGAATGTGAATAAAAATGTGAATCATAGAAAGTTCACTCGACATACTCCATAACAAACGACTTTATGTATAAAACGCTAATGATACATGACGGTTTTATACAATTTTGAGAAACCATCGTGTCAAAACCTCGTATCTGTGTCAATGTTGGACAGGAAATCATTCCTTATCAGCTTCCTTATCAAACAACTTTAAGATAAAAAACAGAAGCTTGCAGACTAATTCAATTCAATTACGTCTTATTTCCCTGGCGAGACAATTCCACCTGTCCACGTAAATTCCGCTATGCTCCATTCACCGTCTAGCAGAAAAAGGCGGTACCACTCGGAGCGACGGAAAAGGCGATTACGGATTAGTTTAAAGAAGATCTTTTAGGCTTGAGGATATTATACGTGCTGCAAATCTGCAACAAGGTACAGACGGCTTTACTTCCCCTCCGAAGGAAGGCAAACGAAGGATTTTTTCTCTCTCGTGAAAACCACGATTTCAATCGGATTTGAAACATCAAACTGGAGCACATTATGGTGTAGAGGGAAAATCAGACGCACGTGCAACCTGCAACGTCGCAGCGTTAAGTTCTTTACTCCGTGCGTAACTTGGAAACGGTGTTTCCTAGGTCTTTAAAATCAGAATTCCATGATCCTGCAAGGTAATGAGTTATGTTTCTCTTGACGTATTCTACAAATATGTTTTTATACGAATTACATTTTCGGAGGGCATTTGCGCTGCCGCTGCGCTGTCTGGAGGAGAATTCTAGCAGCCGGCTGTTCTGATCGGTAGTTTTCAGAGGTTTCTCCGAATAATAGCAGGCGAATGCCGAAGTAGTACCCTGATAAAAGGGCACGGATCTCCCCAGCCAGCGGGGAAAGATCAACGACAGCTCCCGCGATAAAAAAACAGCATGCACTACACTTACGGGACTAATGACCTTGACAAATGACGCGCCCGGAAATACTAATCAATCAATCAATCAATTAATCAATTAAATTAATCAATCAATCAAACCCATAACATGGATAACATGGATTGTCAGAAACGTTAACAGAAATTTATTACCAATATCCCCTTATTTTCTTTTTTAAAACAATGTTTTCAAAATTCGGGCATACTAGCTTTCCGTGGTGTGATCCCAAGTTCGTTCCCGGTTGGGGGAAATAGAGCTGTAGCTTTCCTTTACAAACGTTTCAGTTTTTATAGCTGTGCGACGGAAGAAAAGTATCGAGGAAACGGTGAAGAGAATACGACTTGTTTCTCTTTTACCCCAAGGCGTGGAAAGTAAATGAAATAGTTTAAAAAAAGAGCTCAGACCCGGGGTCAGCGCTGTCTGGTAAAAGTTGGATTAATCGAATTATAAAATTTTAAATAAATGCCAGCCTACGTTCAAAAAATTATTTTTCGCCCAAGTGTAACGAGTTATTCTTATTTGGTTATACGACCATTTCCCCAATTAACAAACTGTTAATACTCGTACATCTAAAAGATTTCTCTCGATTTAGATTCCGTACAAAAGATAAAAATCTCAGATATCACACATGTTTGAAAGTACGTGTTGCCGTCATATGGGAAGCAATTTTATCGGTTATTGCAATTTTCAAATGCTTATTGTTTTCCTCCGATGTTTAAGTTTATTTTCATGTTGCTGTTCTTGACATCGAGAAACAACTGGCGGCCGTCAGATTTCTGTACGCTAAATACAGATAGTGAAAATAACCATTAGATTCAGAATCAATGGGGACATTTCTAACATACCTTAACCACTCATACGTTCGATCTAATGCATCCCTTTCTTCATACAAACACGTTCATTGCAACGATGTTAATGTTACAGTGACTTATTGCTACTTTTATCTCAGTGTACCATTTCTGACGCGACAGAAGCAACTGCATCGGGCGGAAGATTTAATTTCAAACCCACTGGTTTCCTGCACTCGGGCTTGGCTGGGCGATGCCGTCGCCCTCCCCAATTAGACGCAGCGCCGCCAGCGATCTGCACGCGAGAGTTCCTGGCGCCGCGGTCCGCGTCATTCGTCGTCGCGACGCCCCTCGAGGCGTCACCCCCCGCACCTCACCGCTCCACGCCCCGCCCTGCCTCGCTCCCGCCATCCCACCCCGCCCGCTCGATACCCGCTCCGCCTAGGCTCGCGCTCCACCCACCCGGCCCCGTTCTGCCCCGCCCGCCCTCCCCTCCCTCCCCTCCTCCCCCCTCCCCTCCCTCCCCACCCGCCCCGCCGAACCAGCCCAACCCCATCCCGCCCGCCTAGGTCCGCTCCATTCCATCCCGCCCCGCCCGCCCCTCCCGCCCTGTTCGCTTCACCCGCTCGGCTCCTCTGAGACACGCCCGCCCAGCCTCGTCCCGCCTGCGCCCGCCTCAGGCCCCACCGCATTGCCACGCCGCGCCGCGCCGTCCCGTCCCGACTCGTCTCGTCTCTCGGCGCCGCCATCGCTCAGGGCGCCGCTGCGCGGGTCGACCTCTCGTGCCGCCGCCGCGACGCAGCCCCCTCCGACCCCCCTCCGACGCCCCCCGCGCGCTGGGACCACGTGGGCGCGGGGGCAAGGCGGCCGACAGAGAAGTGCTGGCAGAAAATCGCCTCATCCGAAAGACGCGGCCTTTGCAACCACTTTTGCCTTTTCTTTTTCTCCCTATACGAATTCTTTAGTATTGGAATCACCGCATTTTTGGTCGTAAAATCCACGTTTAACGTCCTATTGAGATGAAACTTCCCCATTATTATTGATGTTTCGAAGGTTAAGGTTAGAGTAGATGGTTTGGAGATATTTTCATCTTTATACTCGATGGATGGAACTACATGTCACGTGAATAAATGGAACTGCGACTGATTATGAGCTTTCAAGCCGAAATTTGCTAATACATCAGGAATGAGACCCAATTGTGTCGATCTTGATAACATTAACATATATTCATTTTGGCAGGTACATTACAAGAAGCCCTATTTTCAACTTTTTTGGAAAATTGCTGCAACTTTTTCTTTATTTTTTGTTGAAATAAAAGAAAGTGCAGTTTAAAAACTATTAAGCTTATGCAATTTTAAAAATGCAAAGATAAGATATACTTTCAAACCTGTTCTACACCAAAAATACTCAACGACTTCTTCTTTCTCACTGCAATTCACCCTTCAATTTTATACCTTTAAAGAAGGCATGCACTCAAAGAAACAATGAGTAGTTGTTGAGTAATAAGGAAGAGGAGGAGAAGTTTCGGTATGTTGAGCACTCCAATAGTTTTACCTGTTCGTCAATGCTGCCTCTCAGGGTTATTGGCATACGCACTATGTAACCTTTAGGTCGGGCCATTCCCAACGATTGTTGCCACTTGGCTGTTTCTGCATAATCATTTTTTTAAACTAGGGCGGAGGGAGGAGAAGACTCATGGATAATGTGAAATAATGTCTAGTGCCAGGGCCGTTTGCTCTTGGGGCTCTCTATATCCAGCAACTTCCCGAGGAATTTATGGTGAACAAAACGAGATCTCTGCAGATTTTCTCTTTTTTTCGCTAACTGTTATGGTCATACAAAGAGGGATTTAATTTGGCGATGTTAAATCTGGGGGAACTTCAAGCAAATGCACTAATCGTGTACTAAGCGCCTTGTAACAAATTTGCTCCCGGTAGAAAGAGGCGTAGCCATTAATGATGAGGATTCAACTTTACTAAAGTGATATCTTCTTTTTTTGCAGGTGAGTTTCCTGGAGAGAGAAGAATGCGCATTGTATGGCGGGTTCTCTTCGATCATGCAGTCGCCACCAAGGAAAGGATAATTGAAGATATCGGTGCCCTCTGGTGATAACCCTAACTTGCGTAATTTTTGTAAGCTATGAATTTTTTTTGAGTTAATTCAATTTATTACTCAATTCAAGTATGGAATTCTTAACCCTGTACCCTGTTCACATACTCTAGTTTGCTTTGCGTCTGGATCGTAATATGTGATTTTTTGAACACTTTATAATATTTTTATTCTGGAAAATGGCGATCCAATTATATTGCCTCGATAACTTTTATTGCTATTAAGAAGCAAGAATTCCGAAGGTAAAGGTGAATTTAAAGATTACTGCTGTCTGCTTTGATTACCTATATGAAGAGAATAGTTTTGACAATTTCTTCAAACGTTATTCCCGCATATTAGAGCTTTTGATTCTTGAAAAATTATTTCCTTTCTTCACCAGCAAAGGATAATGCTAATCACTCTATCTCTTTCTCTCCCCTCTCTCTCTCTCTCTCTCTCTCACTCTCTCTCTCTCTCTCTCCATCACCGAGGACATTGACATCAAAATGCGCCAAGAGAGCCCGCGAAGTATCTAGGTATATAGGTATATAGGTATTCCGGTGAAGGGATGTATTTGTGAGAGAATCGTAACACCTACAATGCCAAGCAATGTGTACTTTTTTTGGGAGGGGGGGGTCGCGATGTTGGCCATCCTGGGACCACGCGAACTGATATCCACCGAGGACTAGTCATATGCTCCCAGGAACAAGTGAACGTGACCTTTTTTTTGGGGGGGGGCGGTTATGCCGAAACCATTTTTACACCCCAGGACTGTTAGCAGGATGAAGTATGAGAGATTGATGAAGATGAAGGGCGAATGGACAATCGTAACCATACTGATAGAAACACACACACAACTGTGTGGGACTCGAGGCGGGACTCGAACTCGCGATCCTTTTGTCTGCGATCGCCACGACACTACTGCCTAAGCAATCTCACGCTGCCTTATCCCGATCGGCATATCATTCTATTTGTTACTTACTAAATCGGGGACTAAAATAATATTTCATGATGTGTCTTCATCTAGTGTAACTTTTGTATTACGTATCAAACAATGAATCTGTGCAGTCCTACGTATCGTTGATACTAATTCCATTGTAACGGAATAATACATTATTATTAATGCGAATGGAAGAAGGTGAGTGCCGACGGAACAGTTCCTCAAGCAACAAAGAAAAAACAGCTAATTCATTCTTTATCCAGCCCTTTCCTATTCCCTATTACCAATCCCATCCCTGGCGCCAGGTGCTCGGCTGAAACTTCGTTCGCGGGTGGTCCATCACCGTGAAATACAAAGACTCGTAGACAACCGATTTCCCTGGGTCCAAAGATGAGCAACACGGTAATAATGATCGTTAATAATGTTTTCGTGACATTGTTTCTTGAACTGTTTGTTACATCAATTTAACGCAATCAAACAGCGGAACGAAAATCCGCTTTTAACGGCCAGGAACGGTCAGTGGATTTTAACAGATCACCGTTCGTTAAGCACAATAGACACAAATAAGTTATAGCTGTGGATGGCGTTTGTTCTCCCATTCCAAAAGATATTTCTTATTTAATGTAATAAATTCATTTAAGACCGTAGTGTCACAAAAATCATTAAACGAGACATGGTCGATGTCCCAAAAAACGAACTTTACCGACTATCGACTATCTACTCGGTTTACAAAAACTTCAACCGCGTCCTTTTGCTCCCATTATATCTGTCCAATGACCTTAAAAATTAAAAGAATTGTTGTATGAATGTGTTTAATTGTACCGCCCAGTAGATGAGTAGCGCTTGCTCCTAAAGCCCACTGTATTTTTTACGACCTGAGAAGCAGTGAAGTGCAGGCGGGGAGGGAGGGATAAAATACGGAGACAGCCGCCGTCCTCAAAGCGAGCAGGCGGGCGGCGGATAATCGAGTGAGGGGGCGGGCCCCTGGCGACGCCATCCGCGTCGCACTGCACTGCGCGGGCGGGGCGGGGCGGGCGGGGCGGGCGGGGCGGGGCGGGGGCGGGCGGGGCGGGCCGGGCGCGGGCGGGGCGGGGCGGGGCTTGGGCGGGGCGGGGCGGGGTTGGGCGGGGCGGGGCGGGGCAGGGCGGGGCTGGGCGAGGGGCGGGCGGGCAGGGAGGAACGGGACGGGGCGGGGCAGGTGGCTCTCGCGAACGCGCCCGCTCCGCAGCGCTTACGTAGCTGCTTGGCGCCGTGTGTGCTGCAGCACGCCACCACACCCGTCGCCGGAGCCACGGCCCGTTGGAGCACAAGCACGTGCAGCAAGTGCGGCGGGCGAACATGTGTGGTGGTGAGACGCGCCTTGCATGCTCTGCCTGAGGATCTGGTGTTCAGATCCATGGGGCTCCACTAATTAATTGATTGATGCAAGTCAACTGCGACGAGTATCGTCATTTGGATTGTTTCTATCTGGAGTGGCGGTGTTCCTCGCCCTCGATACTCAGTTCGGGCGCCGACCTACTCGTCGGTTCGTGGGTGGATTTCTTTTCTTCAATTGGGGAACGCCTCAACCGAGACGAACTCTAATCTCCCCGTCATGTGAGACAGTGTAGTGCATGTGAGTGTAAGTAGGGCGTGAGAATAGGGTCCGAGGCGTGTTGTTAAGTACTGCTCCATCAATCATCGGTACTGGATCATAGAAATCACAGATAAGTTCCGTTCAGAGCAGCCGGCCACTAGAATTCTCCTCAAGAGAGCTGCTGAATCCAATTAGCTAGAAGCGAAACCCACCACTGTCAAGACGTCCCGGTCAGAGTGACAGGCAATGTCGGCCTGAGTAAAGCTCAGCCGGCTCCATGGACAAGAAGAAACTTGTGGTCGACGTCCGACTTCGCGCCACGTCTATTAATTTCTTGCACGCCAGAAACAGTTTAAAATGTGTGAGTCGAACTCAGGGAAGGAGTGCAATATGTGCATGGCTTCTTCGCCTCTGGGATGTCTGTTCTCATGAGCATAGAAGTTGTAAGATGAATACATGGAGCAACGCACGTATGAAAATATTCGTTCCCGTATATAAAAAACTATTTGCAAAGCCAAATCAGCTGCAGATGCAGACTATTATCCCTACTTTTGTGGTCGTCAAGGAATTGACGTATTGCCGCAATAAAATAGAAAACTATTATTTGAATATTTACATTCCCGAAAGAGCTCCAGAATCGTACACAGATAGTGCAGCTACATTTATGTCCAGAAACAAAACAAGGAGCCATATTACCATTTACTTAAATGGTCGAAAAAAACTGGACGAAACAGTTTTTCTCGGGGTTCTCCGGTTTTCCATATTTTCTTCAACTTTCGATCAACAACCCTCTTGTTTGCGATCCGGTGGCCGAAATCCCTAATAAAGTAGTGCCGTAGCGATCTCAGACTGAAGGATCGCGGGTTCGAGTCCCACGTCGGGCATGGTTGTATGGTGTCGTTCTTTATCATATCGTGTCATTCTCACAGTTACCATCACCGTTACAAGCAATAGTGGTCGCTAATGACCTAGAACGAGAATCGCTTCTGAGGCCAGCGCCTCTACTTTCGCCACCACATCCAACACCAATGCCATCCACGTCGCTGCCACCTCCATCATCTCCACCACCACCGCACCATAACGCCACCGCCGCCACCTACCGCCGCCATCACCCGCCGCCATCACCGGCCTTCGCCCGCCTGCCACCACCACGACCACCGCCGCCAAAGTCACCGCCACCGCTATGGCCAGCGCCACAGCAACCATCCCATCACCGCCACAGCCACCGCCACCGTCACGCCAACCGCACCGCCACTCCTACCACCACCCGCACCGTTATGACCACCGCCACGCCAACGCCGCAAAAATCAAATACTTCTGCCCCCACCGCCCCACCGCCCTACGGTATGCCTCCACGCACCACCACGCCACTGCCACCGCCACACGCGCCGCCGCCACCGCCGCCGCACCACCACCGCACCACTGCCACCGCCGCCGCCACCGCTATAGTCCCCGCGACGTGAGCGCGGCGCGTACCTGCGGGCCGCCCCCGGCGCGGCGCGCCCCGCCCGAAATACAGCGCCCGTCGGGCCGCAAGGGAGCGGCGGCGGCAGACAGCGTTCGCGCGGGGGTGGAGGCGGGGGGGGGGAGAAAAATGTGGTGAAAATACCGCGCGCGGGCGGTGCACAGCGCGCGCCTGTGCGCTGCCAAAGAGGGCGTTCGCTTGGAGTCACGAGCGAGCGCGCGGCCGACCGGCGCTGGCGCCGCCCCCGGGGTCGCCGCCCCCGCCCCGCCCCCGGCCGCGCGCCGTGGCGTCTCTCCTGTCGGTCGTCGCCGCCGCGCCGCCGCCGCCGCCGCCGCCGCCGGAGCGAACGCGCTGCGGGAGGCCCCCGACGGTGCGCGTGTTTGAAGGCGCGCCAGCAGCCGCGTCGAAATGTGGCGTATGAAGGGAAATCTCCGAGACAAACCTCTCGATGCTGTGGAGGGAGTTCGCCTAACCGTCGATCGAGTGCTGGTCGCAGCTGTTGCAGGGCGCACACGACACACACTGAGAAAATTTGCAGGAGCAATACAAAGCAGGGTTCACAATGGAACCCCCATGGCAAAATAATGACTGTGTGCTTTCCTTACAAATTTCCCACGCAGTGTGACGATGAGAAAGCCCACTCTAAGATTAAGAAGACCAAAATATACGGTGGATGTATGTCTTCGTGTTAACCACACGAACCCCTTATCCTACGGCTGAGAGGCTGGGTCACCGCTGATCGGCCAATAGTACAGAATCGAGCCTTAGAACAGTTTGTTATATCCATAATATGACACGGAAAGTTCTTCATTGAGCAAAATGAGTACGTGAGTAGTGAACGCGTTGCAAGGAGACCAAGAGGCACATGGAGAAAGGCGGTGGTATAAGGAGATGGAGAAGAGATGTAAAATCATGGAGGGAAATTAAAAGAATAGTGAGTAATCGACTTAGATGGAAGTCTCTCATCGTTGTCCTTTGTTCCCCGGAGGAGCGGCACCGAAGACTGATAAGTAGCTGCTGGGGGAAATTCTTGGGATGTGGCAGTGTCTCCTTCAGATTTCCTAATCCAGAGTTGCTCTACTGAGCTCAGATGATTCACGGATCAGCTGCTGGCATACACTCCCCCACAACTGTCACTGTCACTCTCGTATTTGATTGTCTGAGCTTCAGGTAACGCCGTTGTGTTTTGTGTGTATACATCAGACATTTGCTGATGTTGATGGTCTAATAAAAGTTTTAATTTGTCTCGTCGTTTCTTTTGGTAGCTCTCTGTAAGATTTAAATATTTACGTTTGCTCAGATGCACAATAAGGTTGACAACGACTTTTTGCGAATCTTATGGTTTTTATGCGGAGCCGAAGAATGGAGTATTGTAGGGCCTAATCCTCTTCTATAAAACGAAAGGTATTTTCGCAGTGTTTGTATATATTGAAAAGCTCTTCAATTACAGGTTTTAGAAAGTTGCCGAACGGTGTACTAGCACATTCCTTCACATACTGAGTTCCGAGGGAACATTAACAAATTGTTTACTTATATTTTTTCGTTCCTACATTTTAAAGACTTCCCTGCATTCTCTCTCTTGCATTTAACTCTTTGATTTTAAAATAGCTCTCAGTTATTTTCAATATTTGGTGTAGTTTTAACTCTTTTGGACATAATTTCATTCGTGGAATAGTCCTATTAAACTCCACTCGTGCTTTGGAAATTCTCAGATGATTCCCCTCCTCGCGGAATCGAACCCGGGGTCGCATTGTAAAAAGCTGACCAATGAGCTAAACCCGCGAGCTTCGACTACGCCCACCGGTTGCAAATGCTCCTTGGTTCATACCCCAATATTCTCGTAAACATTTCGATTTCTCAATTATCGAAGGTACTTCAGCTTTTGTGTAGACGAGATTCTAATCGCCAATTTAAGTGCGATAGTTACAATATGTTGAGTGTTTTTTAAGAAGTGGCCATAACATTTTTCCAGCGCATTTTACGGAGAGTATTTCTGTGCGCGATGGGGCATCGTTGTCAATGCATTGTTATAATTTCTCAAAGTTTCCAAACGCCCTCATGCCTAAGGACGAAAGGAGGGAACGAACGAAATGGAAGGACTTTGTAATTTATTATTATAATATCGAAAAATTGAAATGGAAACGAAAAATTGGGGACACGACCGCTGAAAATTGACTCTCAACACCACTGACTATTTATTGATTTTTGTTAGTTGTAGGTTTGTTCAAAATATATACATTTTCAGTGGGTGTTATCAAAAGATTTAAAAAGATAAATATGTTTTATCTCGTACATTGTATTGCCTTT